TCTGCATCTGGATCGGTGAATATGGGGACCGTCTGTGGTCTGAACAAAGCAGCTCAAGATACAAAACATCTGCTTCCCTTAAATCAAGAATGTTCAATCAATTTTCCCCCAAAATGTAAAGAGTCAAGGTTTATTGCCATTATGCTACACAGGGATGCACAATTATATTCAGATTTACCACACACTAGACGAAAAACATGAGTAGATATCAGTGTGGGTTTTTTTGGAATTGCTTCAAGTAAACAGTGTCAATTCTCTGCACAGACAATATGGCCAACATCTTCACATTAAAAAAGAGACATGTGTAAAAACATTTTTGCGCTGACGTTTACAGCTGACTGTAAACCAAAGCCACACTACATGAGATTACTTTGAATATGAGAATATAGTGTTAAATGAAGTGGTCTTTTATTTAATCCACCTGCTCCGCGGTTTCTCTCATCCTGCATGAAGCTACCCGGTTGGGTTAGTAAAAGGTTAATGAGTGGGAGGGAGGGACAAAGGGGTGAGGAATGAGGAGCATGCTGAGGAACAATGCTCATCCCACCTCAGAACAATGGTGACAAATCAGACACCTCTGCTGACCCCAAAGTAGAGGCCAGAAAAAAGAGAATGTTCTAATGAACAACATCTCAAGTGAAATGTAACGTCAGTCAGGAACGTGTGTGTGTGTGTGTGTGTGCGTGTGTGTGTGTGTTTGTGTGTGCGTTAGTGTTTGTGTGTTCTCCTCCGCTGCACCTCCCTCCAGCTAAGATGCACTTTGGTTTATGGAGCCCTTGTTGTATTTCAACATTTGCCCCTGCTCATTCTGTGGACTTCAGACCGCTGACGACGTGTCCCCCTAATGCAACCTTATACACAGAGATTGCAATTATTATTTCATTGCGTCGTACACAACAAGATCATAGTGATAGTGCATACAAACTGAGAGTTAACATTGCTAAGTTATGATAAGAAGAATTAAGTTCACTTTAGAGTTTCATTCACGTTATTAAAATTCCTAAGTAAGTAGATGTATTTATCACCGCTTTGTTTTTGTAATGTCACCTGTCATGCAAGAAGAGGACTCTGAAACTGAAGATCTCATTTAAAAAGGTCCCCACTCAGTGATACTTGGGCATATTCTGGAGTATCTTCTACACATAACCAGTGAAGCGTAAATAATGACCAGTGATATCAGCAACAGAAGGAGGTTGTGTCTTTTTTTTTATTGCCCTTTCATCTAGTGTATTTCTCTTTTCTCGGGGGCTGTCAGCAGCAAAACACACAATGTTAGAATGTGCTACGGAGGAGCAGAGTGGGGAATGTTGGAAATTCACACAGTTGGACGCAGTCGGAAATTACAACTGAAATCTTTGGATTTTCCAGTAGCGTGTGACAAACATTTATAAAGAAGACCGGGGAGATAGGTGGCTCAAATGCCTCATCCAACAGACAACCTTTCTGGTCTAGGGTGAGAAGTAAAGCGTTGATTTATTTATTGTTATTTTAAGCCACAGCACCATCTTTTCCTAAATCTTAACTCAGGACACTTAGTACAAGCAAAAAATTACTAACTAAGTTTCTTCGTGTGAAGCATTTTAAAACCAAGCGTAATTGAATAAAAAAAATGATTTCCTAAAGCTAACAAAATCATGTCCGGTTAAGAAGGAGGTTATTTTGAAAAGACTGTATGAGCTTTATCTGTGTGAACGATGGACTGAAGCCCACACACACCACAACACAGTCGGTGATTAGAGCCGTATGAACATCCCACGACAACGACATCAGCAAACACACAGTAAATCTAGTGCAACTCACACACACAGAAACAAAAAGAAGAATGTTGAACAACTGAGCAGACAGCTGGTGGGAGTTTTGATTTAATGGCTGAAAATGAGTTGAATAAATGTGTGGGCTACACTCTCTCCCACATACACACAAACACACACACACACAACACACACAACAATTCAACAAGGACCAACAGTACAGAAGAGAATATCCTGTTTGTTTGCAGGCAGTAATTGAATGGAACAGTCGAGGATCACAGTCCTGGGAACGACCGTCTGGGCCGTAGACAAAGAAGGAAAAAAAAGCCATTTCTCACTATCGGCCGCTTGTGTTGTTGCTGAATCATGGCCTTCTCCCGCATGTCAGTCCAAGTATTTAGTTGCAACGCCACACACACACAGTCAGATTTTGCAGTGCTGAGGACATGAAGAAAGGGGGAATGTAGGCCCTCACCAGCTGAATCTCTCTCTCGCTCTCTCTCTCACAAAGCAAAAGTGAAACCTCTCTCCTAAAGTCGAGATCAGGGTACACAGGGAGGTCTGACACAGAAAAGTTGTATTAGAGAAGCGGCAGTCTTTATAACCTTCACACCAGTCCGACCGCAGCCTTGATGCTTCCAGGTCTAAATCAAATCCAAGGCTTTTTTATCACCACTGGCTGTTGTTTGAAACAAATGAATTAGTCCTCTTCACCCAACAATAGTACATTTACATGTTAATAGCAGGAAAAGCACAGGTAGCCAAAGGGGAATGTCGTAAATTCATTGCATGAGACCCCGTGCAGACGGACTCTAGTTTGCCTGAACCCGGTTAAACCAGTCTCCGGATAGCCCTATTGTGCAGACGAACGCACTGTATCCGCACTCCAAAGTGAGTAAACTCGAAATCCGATTGCTGTTGGTGTTCATCTGCACGCTATCCGCAGTTGTCTGTAGCACCTTAAAGCGCCACCAACAGGTGTGGGGGATGTACTACAGCGGTGGTGATGTAACCCATATATGCCATCACCAGGTGAGTTCTCCCATGTCTGAAAACAGTTTTTTGCAAAACGTTGGCACAGTTTAAAACAGGTTATTGGGAACATTAACATTCTCATGCCAATATAAAATATGCATTTGAAAGTTTACAATTTTGTGAAACCTGTGTTAAGGTTACACCACCAGAGGTCTTGGTAAAAGAAAGGGACAGCCAATAGATGTTGATGTTGACACAGAACAGGGGGTCTGTGAGCACTCCCAACCTCCTCCTCCAGTCACACTCTGCAGGTTTCACTGTGACAGGCTTCTAATGAAGACACTCAATTCAACAACAATTGAGTGTAAATGTGGCCCGAGGAATTGTTTGAGTGGAGGAGTTGCCTCTTTAGCACTTAGTCCTCACTGGCAGAAAGAGCTGGCCTGGTAGCTCACTGTGTTTGTGTTTGTTTAGGGATGGAATGGGTCCGGGGGGTGGGGCGACTTTTCACTTTGAGGTTACGATAGTTGAGGATTTTTATTATATTGATGCTGTTAAGAGGTTTGATTTCCATTCTTGGGAACATCTCAAATATCTACTTTACAGGTAATAGAAAAGGAATCGGTCAACAACTGTGACAGTAAGATGATAAATATAATATTGCAGAACAAAGCCAGCAAGTGAGTCATATTTTTACGTTTTTTTAAAGTACTGTTTCGAGGTTCAAGAATGAATATTGAATATCTACTTCACATTTTGAACAAATTTTAAACATTTCTCATTCATTATCTGTTTCTCTTAAACACTTGTTTATCCAACAACTGCTTAACGGTGGGTTGTAAACCACTTATTGCTTTCATTCTCTGCTTATTTAGTTATATTTTTTACCACGTTACCATGAAGTGAATCAGTTGATAAAACATCCTTAGCTTCACTGTAATAGAAATGACATTTTTTTAATAAACCAGAAAATAATAATAATTTTAGAGAATTCATATGAAAACCCACTTTACTCTTCTCTCTCCCACACTAAAATAATAATGCATCTTGTGGCCTCTCCCACTAACAGATAACACGGCCACATCTTGGCCAACAGTCATAAAGCAGGGCAGAGCCGCTGGGGCACCGGTGCCTGGATGTCGCCGCGTGGCAGTAAAGCAGCCTTGTTGCTGCTGACAGGCCGGCACTTCCCTCAACACTGCGTTCAATTCCAACCCATAAAGCAGAGTTGGAACGCAACCTTTGGTCGACGCTGGCAGCTTAAGCAACCAGCAAGAGAACACACCATCCCTGTACACACACACATACATATCCCTTAGTGTGTGCATTGGAGAATGGGCTGATATAGCTTTGATAGATATACATGGAAATGCAAAAACAATCTCTGCAGAAATGCCTGAAATAAAGTGCAGGGATATGGATCAGAAAACTAAATAAAATATAGGATAGAAATGCCGGCCAAAGGATTCTACTATCAGTGGAGCACAGAATAGGTAAATTAAAAAAGATACATTGAGCTAAATAAGACTATAAAGAAGTGTTGCTGATCTTAATTGTAAAATACAATGACCAGTGCCTATGAACATGAATTTATTCACACCCATTAGTTAAAATAATTTGCTGGCAATAATTAATTAATGGTTGAAATATCTAGAAATATAATTTTATATATACATACTTAAAATAATGGATAATTAGCAAACATTTAGCAAAACATCATAACCCGATGATGACACAACACAAAAAAAATAAAATAATTTACATAATTTAGGAAGAGGTAGCTAAATATGTAAAATGGCTCAAATTATTTTATGAAGTGATGGAACAGAAAGTGAAAAAAGGAATATGTAAAAGAGTTGAATTAGTCAGCGAAGAGGAATGGATAAATAGTTGAAAGAGTTATCTTAATTTATTGTTTGAACAGTCCAAACAGAACTACATTACATGTCATTTTTTTTTTTTTTACTCACTAAACTACTCACTAAAAGAGAACAGTGCAATTGAAACCTAATCAAGCCAGTTCAAACATTCAATTAAAAAATATTGTATCCAGTTTTTATCTAGTTAGAAATGTTAAATAACAAATGTTAAATAACATCCATTCATAATCTATTCATGAGAACCCTTTCTGATGGTGCTGACGAGGACTACCTGTGGGGGTCTTGTTGGATTTTTATTTTAAAAGTTCCCATGTCTGAGCGAGAACACCACAATGATATTATTCATATTGAGGGTAGATATTCATTACACAAACAACAAAAAAACTTCCAAAAGTGATAGCATGTGAGTCGGTTTATTGACCTTAACAGATTCCAAAAAGAAAAGAATAAACAAGATAAAATTCTTTAAAACATTACAATAGAAATTCCTTACATATTGACAAAATACAGACAATAATTTTAGATTATTAGGTTTACAATCATTCACACTTGTTTTGATGTAACTGAATTTGCTTAAAATGAAAAACTGAGTCATTGCACTTTAATTGTCAAACACTAAATTAAACAAACGTTGTGTTTTATGATGTGAGAATCGAGAATCGTGTCTGCTGATTGTCCAATGAATCATACAAGATGGAGCTTGTGTCTTGTGAGGTCACTCACACAACCTAAGCGTCAACACACCAGCCTCTAGCCCAGAGAGCAGTGGGGCTATATCTGTTGCTTTTAGTGTGCACATGACTTTCAACTGTCCTTATCTCAACATAAATAATGGGCCCATAAAAGTTAATCATCTACACACCTGTAATGAGAAATGTTCAACAGCCATAAAAAAGGTATTTTTCTCCCCACTTTCTGCTTTTTTTCCTGCAATAACAATTCTGTTGTTATGCAAGACCACGGGAAGGTATCCACGAACACCAGCCACAACAACAAACTAAAATCTATTGTCAGCTCTTAAAAAAAAGAGGTTATCGTTACATTCCACTTGATTGTCTTTGCATTGGTTTAATTGGTCCGGTTTTCTCCAAAGAAAGATTTATTTTAGCAAAACGTAGTTGTTGCTGTCTTTCTGAATAAATGGGAATGGTTGGTTGGGAGTTCTTTTTTAGTCCTTGTTCAGCGAGTCCTTCGCCCTGGCGGAGCAGTGGAGGCGGCCCTGGAGGTACCACATGTCCCGTCCCAGAGCCATTGGATACAGTATGGCACGGACTAGATCAAGGTGTACGAAAGTGTGCCTGAACACATGTCGCCATAACCGGTCTCAGTTGTCTCCCACGGCTCCGGAGTGGAGAGTTGTGGGACAGAGGCTGCGGACGCCGTCTGTAGACCTCACGCTTGAGACAAAGCACACCAAGAGTTCTGTGGGGCCATTGAGCTCAAGGTAAAGGGGTAATCCTCGTATTTAATGTCCACGTGTCCAGATCCTGGGCTGTCTAAGTGGGATGCTGCCTGCCGGGCAGAAAAGACACATTTGGAGCAAAAATAATCATGAATGAAAAATTGCTCATTGTGATGACACAGAACATAAACAAGTAAAGTTCCCCTTTTGCCTTGAGAGGACCATCTCACTCTTTATACTATGTCAGTTTGCTTCAAGCGTCTAGCAACGGGTACACCGATGGTAAGTTACTAGCCTAAAGGCGCCTTGTTGCCTTTGTATCAAGACACCCGAAGGGACGCTGACACAAGGTATCACAGAAGTGAGACGAGGCTTGTCATTGACCATTGGCCTGTATTTTCTATTGTGCAGAAAAGAGAGTATGAAGTAAGTACACACTCATACGACCAAAAAAATATACAAAACAAGACAGACCTACGTACTGAGGAGAAGGTAAATAAAGGTAAAGACAGAGAGTGAAACAGTAAGAAACAGAGATCGAGCAAAATGCCTACTGCTAGTGCGCTAATTGGCTGGTTAGTGGTCCACATTTTTAGAAAGATGGCATTGCACGCTATGCACCATACTTTTGGGTGGATAGGAGGGTTACCTGAGTGGCAGACGTGCCTGTCTGTCCAGTATACGGCGAGGACGCCATCCTGGGCTCGCTCTTAATAGTCGAGGCGTGTTCTGAGGCTGTCGGGGAGCTGGTGTCAGAGGCAGCGGAACCTAAAGACAAAACCAGAAATTGGAAACGTGAAATTAATTGCATTTCAGAACAGCTTGTTGTTTGCTGATTCTGACTTTGTTGAAAAATTTGAAAAACTTCAGATATTCAGTTCTAAAATGAAAAAGTAAATTAAACTCTCCCCCTTTCTTTCCATCCATCCTACCTGTGGACGTTTTATTCTTGGTCATCTTGGGTTTGCGCTTCCTTGTCTGAATACTCTCTTTCTTCATGGCTAAAGGTCTGGGCACCTGCAGGGAGTACAGAGCAAACTCACATTAGCTGAGCATACCTCCCTGTCCCTGATGTACCACGAAGTTGCGGTGTCATGGCAACCATCACGAGCTCCCCTCCTACACTGCCGTTCTGATAACAGCGACCACGATGCCCTTGGAGAGGTTTTTACGCTATGCAAGTACTTAACCGCTGCCGAGTGTAGCAGGAGTTACCTGCAGACAAGGTAGCGCAGTGGAACCCCTCCCCCTGCGGTGCAACCTACCCCATGCAGCTTCATGTAGAGGCCGCAGGCGTTACACACGGGTTCCCCCTCAGCGTTGCGTCTCCACAGCGTGGTGGTGCTGGTTTGGCAGTTGGTGCAGCAGAGGCCGGCCCGGCGGGACGTGGTCTGCTGCAGGTTTATCAGAGGGAGAAATTGTAACATGTCAAAACAGTGCTGTCAGAAATGGGCTCCCGGCTCGGACCCTTGTACTCTTGAGCAGGATGACTGTGCCAATTTGGTTCAACAATGATCCCAAATTCTCCTTAATGGTCAGAGGTCCACAAATACTTTTTAAGTCTTGCCACTGTGGTGGAAATGTCAGCCCTGTCAAGTTGCTTTGAAAGGCCCCTCATTTAAAAGCGTCCCCATCCAAGGGCAAGGTCGCTGCAGGGAAAATAAAAGCTGGCAGAGCAGCCCGGCGGTGAGGAGGGGGCATTGGGCAACGCGCAGCTGCTCTAGAGAGGCGAGTTCCTGAGAAATGCACACCCGGGAAGCCTTGATACTCGGCGCTCAACGCATAACCTCAAACACTACTACTCTCCCTTTACAAAATGCTTACAAGTACAGCATGAGAAATTACCTGCTCTGGCCTCTATAGCGCATTACGTGTTTGGCTATTTGATTAAATTTCTGGGGAAGAATGTTTATACACACAACAATGTAAATATTACCATTTCTGCATTAGAAATACTGTATTTAACACAAATAACAGCAGAACGTAACATAAAGTAAAGCAGTAGAGAGTAAGTTGGCTTGCTTGGGAAGGGTGGGAGAGGAGGGGGGGCAGGAGGCAAATTGAGGTTGATAATATTATCAGAATCATGTTATTCTAATTGGATATGTTTCAGATTTTACTGTTTTTTTATGCAGTGTTTAATTTCCTGTCATTATCACTGTATGGTTTGTTTGTATCATTTGACTCTTCTAAATATTAATATTGTTGTTGTTATTATTATTATTAGGAAATATCATGATATTTCCTAATAACAACAACAACAACAACAACAATAGCTTTCCCATAGGAAAGTCAAGTATCTTTTAAAATGACCCATTTAGTTAATTCGTCGGTCGGTCCTCACCAGTCGCTTCTGCGGTTTAATGAGCGGTCGGTTGATGCCGTTCATTTTGTGGTAGAGGCCGCAGGCGTTGCACAGGTAGTGTCCCGTGCCGTCCCTGCGCCACAGCGGCGTGGACACGGAGCCGCAGTTGACGCACTCCCGGCCCTCGGTGGACATGTCGTCGATCAGGTCTGCACACACCAAGACACAATACGGCATAAGATAGAAAAGGGGTTGTTAAAATAACCTTTGAATTGCATTATTAATCCGGTAATTATTTATTCATTCATCTCATCGCAAATATTCTCAGTTGAGCTGAATTTAGTGCACCACTGCAACCTTCATCAGTTTTGTAATGTCGCAGTTTCTCCTATGACGGCATTCGAATGGAAATGTGAAATCATTCCATAATGAGGGGGATGGGGGTGAGGGGTCTAGTTACTGGCCAATGCATGATGAACAGCCAGCAGGAGGACCCCCCCCCCGCCCCCCTCTCCGTCCGTTCCCTATGATGAAAGAGATGAGAGGGATGATGGGGGTGTGGGGGCGTTATCAGCCTGAGGGATCCAGGGGTCCCCCCTCCCATCCGTCACAGCTCTGACACACGACGGACTTCTAGCATCAGTTGGCCACATTCCTAATCCCTCAATTTCGAGCGAGACGTGATGAGGAAGACCCCATAGGTCAGGGAGGAAGGTCTGCCTTTCTTGTTGGGGTTTGATGCTTCAGAAGAAAACGGTAACACATCAAACAATAAAAGCTGATCCAAGTGCAAGAAAAAACACTGAAATAACTTTTATAAGACCATTATATAGTGTGATGTTCATCGCAAATAAAGGCGCGCCAGGAGGGGTCATAATGATGTTATGAATATTCAGGGCCGCTTTGGTGAGAATTTTCTCCTCAAATCAACGAAATGAGATTCAATTTCGTGACGTTTCGGAGAGGCGTGAACGCGTCTGAAGGCCAAGCCATCAAACACGGCCTGTGCCGGCCTGTGTCTCTGATCAAGGTGATAACTGCTCCGGTTGTTGAGCCCCTTCGTTTTGTGTCTCGTTGTGTATTGAACCAGTCATCACAACGCTGCACTGTTCTCGCGGGATTTAATTAACATGTTTGATTGATTGTTTTTAAAACCCCTGTCAGTGTTGAATACGAAGAATGCTTATTGTCTAAAGCTAATAAGCAATTGTTTTGGGGGAATTTGATTGACCCCTCCTCTACCAACTCTCTATCACCTCTTCAGTATAATGAATATGGCTTTTACGATCGCTGATAAACGAACGCACAAACCCCTGAAGTTTATTTATAGTCATGTATGACAATAACAGGTAATGATAATGTCCAGAAGATTGATCTGTGTTCATTTATTGATAGAATTTGTAAGAAACTTAAATATACTTGATTGAAAAATATGAACGAATATTTCCGTCATTGGTGTATTAAGGCCAAAAGCCGAGGGTTGGTTGTATCAGATTATTATTTCAAAGGGAGTTTTTAAACGTTTAAAATGATTGAAAGTTAAAGTTAAAAAACAACGTTCATGTGAAATGAAAAGTTTATGATTGTAGATCCAAAAAACAAGTAATATAAAATATTAATAAATAACAATATAACACATTCCTTATTCCTTTTCTTTTTTTATATCTACTGTACTGTATTTACTTTATTTTTCAATGGCTATGATAATTACACGAATTACTTTAGGAATAAAACTCACTTTATGATCACGGTGTCTAAAGGTTTCGGGCTCCGTGCTTACCCAGACTGGACCTTCTCCCAGACAGTCCTCCGTGCCGTCCCTGCAGGCTGATCACTCCGCTCTCGAACGACCCCGGCGTCCAGGAGGACGTTGCCATCTCCGGGCTCATGTACGCGTAAGGGCTAGAGTACGATCCCGCGACCGAGCGCACCAGGGCGCCCCCGTACTGGTCTGCCCGAGCGCCGTTGGCGAGGACCAACGGGCTCTGGTAGGTCGCGTCGCGGCCGGTGTTGCTGCTGACTGGGGCGCTGTGCGGGTACGAAAAGCCGTGCGGGGGGTGAGGGCTGCCGGGCGCAAAAGAGGAGCCGTCTGTGCCGGTTTGGGGCCAGCCGTGGTGCCCACCGAGGCCGTGGGACTGGTGGGTCGAGTCACAGGTCTGCAGGTAGGGCAGCATGGTGGGGACTCGGGTGGTGGGGACGTAGACCGGAGAGCTGGCCGACGGGTGGATGTAATTCCCGGTGTCGTGTCCGTACGGGGACTGGTTGGAGGACATTGCCAGGCTCTGATACATCTTCACAAACCGTTTGGGAAATCGTGTCCACCCTCAGATAAGTCTGCCTGGGCCGTTTGGAGCAAACGACTTAATGGGATTCTCGTGGTAATTGTTGTCCTATGGAAATAAATAACCATATGGAGATTTTTTTAAAACGTGAGAGCTGAGTAAAACACTATTTTTCATATAATCAGTTTGTGTTTGTTGCGTTACAATCTAAAACATCAAATGTAGAAATATAGTTCGGCCCAACAATCATTCAGTATCATCAACAATATTTCACCTGCATCATTGCGACTGGCACAAAAATGACGAGCGCGCATAGGGGCCCCTGCAGACAGAGGCGACTATCGGCGGACCCCAGATATCCTGTCGCCGCCTCGTTAAATCACAACCATAACGGAAACCGAATCGAACTGCACATGGTTTTCTATCAGTAGACACACTTAAATCACGCAAAACTCTGATAGCAGCGCTCGGTGTGCGAGGAACGGGTTTTTTTCTCCTTCCAACGGGCTCTCAGAGTATTATCTCACCAGATAAGGGCGACCGGGTGATAAAGCAGTCCGGGTCCTTGAGCCAGTCCACGGATCGGACAAAAGCTGTCACTCCACATAGACGAGCGCAGGACGACGCAGCGCAGCGGGAGCGTCTCCAAACGGCTCCGGTGGTTGTTTTTTCCTGCGTAAAAGTTGAGCGCAATGATCGGTGATCAGTTGACCCTGAAGTTGTTAGTATTTGGTTGTGAGGTTCCGAGACGATCGCCGTGATTCTTTTTCCCCAGCGGTATATCTCGAGATAGTAACCGTCGCTGATAATTGCTGATATGGGAGTGCTTCTATTCGCTCCCCTTACTGGAAATTTTGTATGGGAGAATTAAACACGTGACGCAGCCTCCACCACTATGAGGTAGGCCCTGGGTGGGGAAGGAGGGAGGGAGGACCCTTGGCTGCTGGACAGAGCAGGAAAGGGCCCAAACGAGAAGGTGGACTAGGGTGCAATAAATACCAGCTTTAATCCCACCTGCATTCACTATGCAACGTATTTGAAATCAGGACGACGTATTGGACACATTTTAATCCAGGCTCGACGTGAGGAACCCCAACAACCTTAGGAAGGCTTACTTTTATACCTGACCTTATTTTAACAACGCCGATTTTGCACAATATGACGCTCATGCAACATAAATAATCCTATACAATCTATTTGATGCTTTTTAGGGGGGTATTAATGGTGGAGTTGAGCTGCTTCTGCTGGGTGCTGCTCCGGACCGCTACTTTAATATTCCAAATTCGATGTGTTCGGGGTACATATATTCTGAATGTATAAACGCTAGATAACTAAGCATTAACTGCACGTTGTAAATGAAGCAGTAGAGATCAACCACCGCTCTGGAGATATGCGACAGCTTCTTGGAGAGATGGAGGATGTACAGCACAAGTTATTGTTCATTTATTCATTCATTTATTTAGCAGGGACAATGCACATCAACAAGTGAGCCAGACTTAGCCAGATATGCTAATTTCCATCTGCTGTCACCGGCCAGATGTTTTTAAGGCAGCCTAAAAAATGATTAATATTTTTATTCACAGAGAACAAATTCTATGCTCGTAATCAGGACCGTAAAAGAGGAAAATATATTTTTAAGGTAATATGGCGGGTACTTTTTCACTTCTTCTAGTATATTACATATTGAAAAGGGACTTCCTTGTGGCTTATAAAAAAACATAAATAATTTGCTATTCTCACCGCAAAAAAACGATTTTCCAGACAACGGTTTGTACAGACTACAACCGTTGCCTGGAAAATGAAATAGCTTCATTGGTAATATCAAGGCTGTGTGTGAAATTCTATTCCTATTAATCTTCACGTTTATCAGAAAGATACCAGCGATCCAATAAATTCTCTCTCTAATTTCGAAAATACGAACTTTAGGGTCAAGCGAGGTCGAAATACGCTCCTTTAGTGAAATATTTAGATTTTTGATTCACATTTTCTGAAGAAACACACTCAGGTGACTGAAGCATATTGGCCGACTAATACCATTACGGTCTGACACTGTCTCTAGTTGTCCATTAATTAATTAAATCAATTCCGTTAGTTCCACAACCAAGTCCCGTCGGTCAACACTTCATACCCATTTGTGAAACGGTTCAAATCCGCCTGCAGACATTTAGTCGTTATTATCTTTTAATTTTCATTTTGAGGCCAAATTACATAATAAGGCCTTATTAGTTTTATATGGAAATCTATTATCTATTTCTATCAGCATTTTAGCAGTTTATTTTAATTTAATTTAATTACAAACAACAAATAGCAAAATGAATAATACAAATTTAATTTTGAATAGAATATAAAATGAAATAATAAAATAGAACAGGCTTTACGACCTCCATACGGTGAATGATTAAACTAAAATAATTAAGCTTGTTGCAGATGCAACAGCATCTGCAGGCACACGTGTTTCCACCTCTTTTGTTGTTAACATCAAATCCGCCTCTTCATCTTGGGCCCCCATTGTGAACTTCTTAGCATATAGTTATATTCCAGTTTGCTATATAATACACTTAATTTAAGGGTTTAAAGGGGATTTAATAACCTGCAGATTCAGTTTATCACAGACATACATAATTATGTTTTCAAGCACTCAAAAATACCCATATGTTTATCACAATAATCACAATAAACACTTCATAAGTGCATAATAACTGCTGCCTCTAACTTACATTATAATCAAATCATAATGCTATCTAAATGTCGCTCCCTCCTCTGCTGGCTTCGTGCTTTTTGAAAGTATTCATGTGACGTGTATGCTTTAATCAAGGTCCTGGAGCGTCGTCCTTGCAGAAAGGGGGAATGCTGAAAAAAAAGTTTACACAACTTAGCCAGTGTCCGCGAGAAATTATGAAACAGACATTCCAATTCAGACGATAAGCTGCCTTGCATTTTGGGGTTTTGTGGGTCACTATTGTTTGAATCCAAAAGACACAAACAGAGAGCATATCAAGGCTGCAGTGATTTTAGGCTGTTCAAAAAAAAAAAGGTTCATTTAAGTAGATTCAGCCTGCTCCAATCAGGTCACATTCTAGACATGAAGAATCCTCACTTCCCCTTGTCGCACCTGTATGTCAAGTTGGGTTTTTGTCCTGTCTCCACGTTTATTTTGTGACTTCCTGTTTTATTTTGGAAATTGACTCTCCTCTCGTTTCAGGTTCCTTGCCCTTCCTCATGTGTCACCAGTCTGACTACCCTGATTCCTGATTGTGTCCACCTGATCCCACACTTCCCTCATGTCTACTTATAGTCTGCGTCTCCCCTTGTCCTGTGCCAGTGTGTCATGTCCATTCGCCTTGCACACCCACCACAGGAAATAATCAAGCCTAGGTCACAGTTTTTGCCACCTTGTGGTCTCCTCGTGCCGTTTAGAGCTCCTCAATTTAGTTTAGAGCCTTTTTTGATTGTTTTGTTAATTCCTCTGTAAGAGAGATTTTGTTTTTTATTTTGTTAACTGTTTTGCCAGAGCATTTCCCCGTTCATCTCTCTTCGGAGAAGTTTTTCGTTCCCAGGGACTTCCCTGTGTTTTTTTGTTGGACAATAAAAGCTGAACCTCAACTCTGCATCCGAGTCCTCCTCGTGACACCCCTTCCTCTTCTTTTAAGCTGTATTATGGCTGTGGACACTCGTTCGATGAAATATCACCTAAATCAAAGTTGTATCCCACCACTGATAAAGGGTGTGATATTTAGAAGCATGTGAAGTGCAGAAGAAAGTTTTTTAAATGATTCACACTAAGAGTAAACCATCATCAATTCAACATGGCCCTTTGTATGATGTAACATGAGGTCTTGTTTACCCTTTTAAAAAGCATTGCCATGCAAAATGAAACAACCTACAGACACACGTCGCTCACTCAAACGCTTGATTGCTTCTCATCAATCAGTACATAAATCAATATAACAAAGTTCACATGTGAACACAAAACAGCATTCTACATTCTTGGCCTGTTTTCAAAGAACGTGTTAGGGCAAACGAAAAACACAAACCTGAAGCTCATGCTGCTATTTCATATGTTCAAATTAGAATGTGCTCTGTGTCCTTGCAAAATGCTAGCATTGGAAATTCATTTATGTCTTGATTAAAAAATACAAATAGAATTACAGGTTCACAGGGACCAGAGCACTGTTTAAATAAAATGTCAAATAAATACAAAATTTAGACTGACAGACAGACATATTAAATTGTGATGTCTATGTTTTCTTTAGTCTATAGATTCTCAATGTCTAAAAAAAAGAATGTAAAACCTAGATTGTATCATTTGAAAATATAGAAATGTTAAAAAAAGAAAAAAAAGAAAATATAGAAACGTTTTAGTTTGAGCCCAGCAGTGCAAATGGTTCACGGTCCGTGTGCCATACTGCGGCTACATGGATCTTATATTTGATTGTGTGTTGTGAATCGTGTTTCAGAGATCTGAAGAGTTGTGGATTATTTGTCTATCTATTTTCACCAAAAGAACCCCATTGCAATTAAATTAAATTCAACTTCATCATCCAAAGTAGGACAAAAACATGACAAGAAATAACACTGCTTAGAAGTTAAGAGTGTGCAGTTCATGAATGCTTGTGCTACCTTTTCACATAGATGGAAAATGTGGTAAACAAGAGAGTAGATTGTTACAACACGGCCCATTTTATGATGGCAGGGTATGAAATAAAGACACAAACCATCAGTATGGGCCCCTCATCCATCCATGGATGAGGTGTGAGTAGCGGTCCATCACAGTCACTCTGGTTATGACAATAACACAAAAACGGGGCCGTGGCAGGCCGCGTTTCTGCTGTTTGTGGCCTGTTATATCCAACATGGGTACTGCTTTTTGAAGCGTGATCAGCCTCTAACGGGACGCTGCCTTTTACTGCCGCTACGGAATTCCCTCTATCTTCATTATGCATACACATGCCTGCTAGATAACTAAGGAATTTTTCCTAAGGTATTTATTGAGAGAATACCCTGAAGTTGCGTGTGTGTGTGTGTTAGTCTTGTTTTAGAGGCCCTCTAATTTCTTGTCAGTGGTGCAAATTGATGCTGTGATCCCCCTCCAGATAAGAACACTGCAAGCTTTATTCTCTGTTATTAACCTCCAGAGAAGCCTCCAAGAAAAGCCCAGTGAGAAACACGCAGGAAAATAGCTCTGATAGGTGGAGGTGATGAAAGAGTAGGTTAAAAAATCGTTATGGTTTTTTTTTAACTCATCTTGGCTACATCTCTTCTCGTGTGTTCGGACCCTGAGAGATGTGCACGTGGTTGTTATTAGGGCTGTCACTAGATTAAAAAAAAAGCACATTTTGAAATTCATTAATTGCGATAATCATAATAAAAGTTTGTTTTTCTTCTAGACTAAGACTACTACTACTACTTCTAAGACTACATCTTACAAGTAATGAGTAATCAATTTAGAAAGTGTGTATTTTAAACATTGTTATTTAATTGTATTTTTTAAGCACAAAATGACACACATTTGATCATCTTCAAGGCTGAATTTCACCAGGTGGAAGATGACACACTAGCGACTCTTCCTGCTGTCTTTGCTGTGCTCTCAACTCTCCATCAGTGACGGCTGTGTTTAAAGTGCCAACAATCTCCCGTCAATTAGCCAGGACGTGCGCCACTCATTCCCTTCTGTTTGACACGTGAAGGAATTCCTCTCCACAGTTCTTCTGTTTGTTTAACTTCCAATGCAAAAAGCTCTCTCCATCTTCAACTATCGCCTCGGTTTCTCCTGTTTAAATGACTGCAGCTAGCAGTAGTTTCATTTTTTCGGGGTCAACTTTGTTTACTTCCGGTGTGCCGGAAAATATTTGATCACATT